ACCGGGTTTCGAGTGACCCTTTTCTAAGGCTACTATCATATGGGGACAGTCAGACAGGACGATCAAAAGAGGATGTGCCGACGTTCATACCTAGTAATTGCCGGTCTGTTGACCCCAAAGAATGAAATTCAATAGGTGTGAAGGATGATACAACCTGATTTGTTGACAAGCTGATCTGATCTGGTTGATGAGCATATGATATAGTGATGGGAATGAAAGGCACACAATGTCGATATACACGCAGCACTTGGTATGTTATATGACCATTTTCATGCCCCCATAGCGCGCCATTGACGAGTACAGAAAAGTAAACTTGCCAAAAAAAACAAGCAAGGTCCCATGGTGTCTCATCTTAGTGGACTGGTATGGCGGCTGTATCGGAAAACGATATGGTCGATAATTCACGTGCTTGTAGGACCCTTGGCGTTGGACATATTAACCCTTCCGATATATCAGGAAAATTCTTTGAATACTCCTAAATAAGGCAACGATGGCGAGAATGCCAAGTCAAGGCTAGAAGTGGCGAGCTCCAAGCTGAAGCCTGTCAGAGACAACGTCAACAAGACGGAAGGTGAGAGCCACACTCATATATTCTGTTAGGATCAATGCGATCCATAGTGCTATGTTGTACTCACACTCGTCACTTTCTCCAGGTTATCACCTTGTTCCTTGTCTGAGTGTATCTTAGCATAGAATTCGCCACGACCACCTTGTCTAAATTAGGCATGGTGCGTCTAATTTATTGGCTCTCTACACTTATGAAATCGTGACATCTATGATGGGGTTTCTGACAATTCTGAAGACAATGGATTCATCGTTGGCTGTGGATCCATGGAAAATTGTACACCTCTCGAGAAGCCACGATGATTTCCATGGACTGGTAACAGTACCATCCTTGCATTACGGCCTTTGTCTGGCTGCTACATTCCGTTTCAACGGCCAATATTCCTCAACGGCCGTGCATACCTGAAGATTGGCAAATTCCATGGTTTCATGGTACCACCGCATATGCCCGAACTTCGAACTCTCTCGGCTCCATGGATTCATGGAAATCTTATAGGGGATTTGAATTGAATTAAGTTTTTATGGTGGTTTCATGGAAATTAGATATGTCGCTTACTTGGCAACCAACGCGGGGTATTGGTCTCATGACCTAGTTGGTAGAGTTAAATACCACGAAGGCCTGATCTATCCACGCCTCAAACCACCTCTCCTATCTCTACCAGACACCCAACATGTCCAAGAGAGTTAAGCGAGAGAAAATTTACAGCATCGGTGGCCCGACTATCACATACATATACACCAATAGCTCGGGTAGAAAAATAACACGCCGCATCTCTCTCAGCACCTTCCCTCCCTTACTAAAACCACCAAGCGCCCGATCCCGTCGACTCAAAGGTCTTGCTCGGAGTGGAGAACCTGGGGGAGGAACCATGCCAGGCAAACAAAACATTGCATGAAATGAAGGTGTGTGTCATACAGTATCTAATCGTCACAGTTTGTTGAATTCAGTTCGGCAGACCCAGTTGTTGATTCGCTTTCCTCTTCATTATTCCTTTTGTTATTCCAGGTCCTTTCTCATTTGTCCCTTTCTCCACCAAATCTATACCTTTTGATCATATTCATCCTCCTTTTATCTGCTTCATATTTACCTTGTTCTCTTTCTTGTAGGTCCGACCCGGC